CGGGGACGGCCGCGCGCGGGCTGCGCTCGGCGCCTGTGCACCGCCCCGGCGGCCGTGGACATGAAACGCTACCTGTGGGCGCGCTACCACGAGGCGAAGAGGAGCACGGACGGTGAGTGTGTGCGAGCCCCAGCCTGCACCGCTCGCTCGGGGACCCTCGGGCCCCGCACCCTACCGCTGCTGCGCGGCTCCCGCGGAGACGGAGTCCAGAACTTGGCAACTCTTGTTTCTCTGTCTTTCCCCTGCCCGGAAAGCTGTTTCATACCTGGGGATTGCTCAGCCAGGAGTGGGCCTCGGAAGTGCTCTGGGCCGCCGCGAGAGTTCCAAGGGCGTCAGTCGGAAGATGTTATCCCAAACACCGTTAGGTGTTGTCATTCAACCTGGGAATGGTAGTGGCAGCCCAGCCAGCTGCCACGCTGTCCTAGACAGGCTCCAGCGCAGGCGGCTGAGTCAGGAGGCTGAGCCGGTTTCCTTGGTGCAGCGGGATGGAGTAGGGTGAAACGTTCTGTTTGAAGTGGTTGTGGGGGGTCTGGTTATCCACGGCCCTCTGCGAGGGGGAGAGGGTACTTGTGGCCGAGAGAGCCGAGAAGGAGCTCCCGTAGGAAGCGGGGAGGAATGGAGAGAGGAACCAGACTATTCTAGTGTCAGGCATTGATAGCGTCCCTAATCTCCCGCAGCCTCCGGAGGAGTAGGTCCCGTCCATTGTGTAGATGGCAAAGGAGAAACTTGAGTGCCAGAAAGGGACCTGACCGAAGACTGGTTTCGACCCAGAGTCGGGAATCTATTGTCCCGTCTGTTGCTTTGTGTTTCTTCCCAGCTGGCGATCGTTTGGAACCTGGAGTAAAGGGGCAGTGAGCCGTAGACACCGAAGCTATCAGAGGAGACTCAGGATGTAACACTGATTCTTTTGCGGGGAGGCGGTTGAGGAGGATGGCCCCGGGAGGGTTGGCGAAGGTACATTTTGTAGGATTTCTAAGATCCGTTTGCATCTTTTGGCTAGAGGTCAGTTCAAGCGAAACAAAATCCACTTGGAATAAATTTCCAGTGTGTCAGCGATGTAGACTTCTATGGAAGAGTGGCTTATTGTTTCTGGTTTTCCTTTGCCAAGAGTTGAATTTCGAAGCTATTATGTGGTGTGGCCGAAAGAAGATTTGCTTTGGAGTGGTTAGGATTTACAGATCTTAAGATAGAGAAATAGAGAAGATCATTTTTTGGCCAGGCAAGTTCTTTGAGATGGACTTTAAAGCCCCCTGCATTATCCTCCCAGGTGGGAGCCACTATTCCTGGCAAGTTTGTTCTTTTCTCCTTGCCTCCCACTCTTCTTCCTTTAGGATGCTCAGCAGAGAGTAGCCACTGTAGGGGGTGGAGGAGGTGATTTAGCACCCCTCAACCCCATCCCCCACCTAGTTTCCTGCTTAGGGCAGTGCTATGCCTGGCCTTGACCAACTTACCTGCCCTCTCAGCTTCAGTTTCTCTTGGTAAAATGAAGCCACAAGCTTAATGATGCTCCCAGTGTTATAGGTGTGTAGGTACTGCAGGTACACGGTGCACACACAGGTCCCCTTACAACGGGTAAACACACGGTGTGCAGGTTCCCTCACTGTGGGTACACCATGGTCTGCAAGTCCCCTCACTGAGGGTACACGGTGCACAGGTCTCCTCACTGTGTGTACACGGTGCGCAGGTCCCCTCACTGCGGGTGCACTGTGGTCTGCAAGTCCCCCCACTGAGGATACACGGTGTGCAGGTCTCCTCACTGTGCGCAGGTCCCCTCACTGTGGATACACGGTACGCAGGTCCCCTCACTGCGGGCACACGGTGTGCAGGTCCCTTCTCGGTGCCCACAGCACATTCACAAATAGTTCCTCTGTTGCCCCTGAAAACTCAGGGACTTTTAAGTTTGGCTCTGACTTCTTTGTCTCCTTTGGGTACTCAGCTTCCCTACCCTCCTCCAGCTGGTATCCATGACCTTTCAGTGAGCATGTGTTCAGTACCCAGCAGCCGTCTTTAAGGTTATTGATTCTTAGGTTCCTGAGTCTGGGCGGTGGGGTCCAGCATCTGTTCACCCGCCTGCCTGTGCCAAGCTGTGGACCAGGCACACATGGATGTGGAGTCTGGTAGAGGGAGGGATAAGTGACAGCCACTGACAGGGCAGATGAGGACTGATGGGATGCAAGAGCCCCTCCCCCTCCTCATTATCCCCCCCCCCCCCCTCAGGAGAGAGCTTTACCTTTCCACTTCCTGATTCTGACAAAAGAATTTCATTTTCTAGTCACTTAATCCCTTTCTATAATCCAAACAGTTCCTTCAGGTACGATCACTTCAGATGCCTGCCTGGCAAGGGCTGTGGCTTTAGGCTTTGTTTTTAATGCCTTCTTCCCCAGTCTTTTCTTTCCATTCTAATTGAAGTCTGTTAAAAAACAAAACATTTTCGGGTGTACAGAGAAACCGATAGTTCCTATAAAGCCGGCGGTTGTTTTCCATTCTGAGCCCTTTTTGTCTCTTCCCCTCTCCTTCCCTTCTTCCTTTTTCTGTGCCTAACACCCCCTTTCTGTCCTGGGGTCCCATCCAGGATTGCACATTACACTTAGTTGTGTCGTTAGGCTCCGTTGACTCACACAGTTTATCAGATTTCCTTTTTTTTTTTTTTGGTGACAGTTTCCAGGACTGGTCACATTGCAAAGCATCCCGTTGGAATTTATTCCTGTTTTTTAATTTTTACTGAAGACGTTTAATCTAGTGATGCTTTCTTTGTCCCTTTGGATACTCCTCATCGTTACCCCTGTACTAGCTTTGCATTTCATCTGGAAGTCAGCTCGGAAAGTTTTTTTGGAATGTCACATCATAAGCCTAAGACTCTAGATGCTGGTCTTCAGCAGGATGCAGAGGGGGCGGCTTTACCCCTGGGAACACTTGGTTAAGTCTGGAGATCATTTTATTTCTCTCACTGGGGGTAGGGGCAGTGCCGCCTGCCTATGGTGGGTAGCGACCAGCACAATATTTTCATAATAAAGAGCTTTGTGGCTTTGAGCATCAGTGGTTCTGGGCTCAAGGTCCCTGGACTAGAGTTCTGAGAAAACACTGTTGTGACTGTCCTGCCAAGGTCTGGATGTATTTGTGTGAGGTCTGTTCCTGTTGTTTGTGTATTGTATTTCGGTGGAAGTCTAGACTTCTCAGTGTGTTCAGGTAATTGGCTTGTTTTCTTGTCTCCAGAACAGGGGCGGTCTTTCCTCAGAGATGCAGCTCCAGCTTTGGGTTTGGATAACTTGTGGGTTTGTTGTTATTTTCCTCCCTCCCTTCCTAAGGCATTAATCAGAGAGCTGGGCTGGTTAGAATACTTGCCCCTTGGCGAGGCTGTAGTGGAAGAAGATAAACAGGCAGCAAAGCTGGGGATTACTGTGAAGTGATAGAAGCTATATTCAGAGACACAAAAAGGCTTATTCACAGTTCTGGGTTGGAAGAATTTGATAATCCATCAGAAATTAGGTATTTGTGGGGACTGGGGAGCCAGTTCAGTGGAGAGTTTCTGCACAAGCATGGGGCCCTGAGTTCTAATCCCCAGAACCCACAGAAGCTGGGCATGGTGGCACCTCACTGTACCACCAGCTAGCAGGGGAGACAGACAGGAGGGTTTCTGGGGTTTGCTGGCCAGACAGGTGTGCAGGAAAAAGCCCAAACAGAAAACCCAGAGAGCTCCAGGTTCAATGAGTGACCGTGTCTGAAGGCAGTAAGGCAGAACAGGACACTTGATGTCCTCCTCTGGCCTCTGCACAAGTGCACATGGGGCATGTACCCACAGACACGTGCACACAGACATATACAGAACACATGTGCACACACACAATTTCGGTACTTAGCAGGGACTACTGATGCAAGCAGAACAGGTCCAAAATAAACAGAAGACACAGAGATAATTCTCACCATATATAAGGTGCTATATTATAACTAATGATGCACACACATTCCCCCAGGAGATGCTGCAGGTGAATAACTTACCAGACTAACATCTTGTTAGTTTAGACTAGCATCTCTAGAACTGTGTCTGACAATCTTTGGAGAAATACAGCTGTTAAAATGGAGAAAAAAAAAATCCACACACCAGTTTGTTTTTTTTTTTTATAGCCGGGCTTTTCAGTTCTAGCTTTAGAAGCACACCAGAGCCTTTAAAAGCCACGAGTTTCCAGGAGAAAAGATGTTGATATTCTGCTTCCTGACTAAATTTGATCTTGAAGCCCCAGTTTTGCATTAGTAGCTCCATTTTGGGGGCTCTGTACTTTGGAATCTCTAGTAATACAATTAGT